AAAGCTATGAATTTCCCTGAGTCCTGCGTTATCTGCACCCCAAATGTTTTGATATGTCATATTTTCATTATTATTCCATTGAAAACAATTTATAATTTCACTGCAATTATTTCTTAGACCTACAAGCTGTTTAAAAATGCATTGCTTATGGAGCACCTGGGTGGCTCAGTTGGTTAGGTGACCAACTCTTGATTTCAGGTCGTGATCTTGAGGTTTGTGGGATTGAGCCCTACGTTGGCCCTACCTGGGCCTGCATTGGGCTCTGAGCTGTCAACACGGAGGCTGCTTGGTATTCTCTCTGTTCTTCACTCTCTGCCCCTCCCCTGCTTGCTCTCTCTCTCTCTCTCAAAATAAATAAATAAACATTAAAAAATGTGTTGTTTAAGAAACAAAACAGATGAACGTATGGGAAGGGTGGGGGGAAGAGAAGGGAGGGAAACAAACCACAAGAAACTCTTAAAAAATTTTTTTAAATGTTTATTTATTTTTGAGAGAGAGAGAGAGAGAGAGGGAGAAAACATGAGTGGGGGAGGGGTGAGAGAGTGGGGGACAGAGGATCTGAAGCAGGCTCTGTGCTGAAGGCAGAGAGGGCTCAAACTCACAAACCATGAGATCATGACCTGAGCCAAAGCTAGACGCTTAACTGACTGAACCACACAGCGGCCAAAACCACAAGAGACTCTTAACGATAGAGAACATACTGAGGGTTGATGGAGGGAGGTGAGTGGGGGATGGTCTAGACCGGGGATGGGTACTAAGAAGGACACTTGTGATGAGCTCTGGGTGTTGTATGTAAGTGATGAATCATTGAATTCTACTCCTGAAACCAATATTGCATTGTATGTTAACTAAGATTTAAAGAAAAATAAAAATGTGTTGCTTAATTTTCAAACATTTGCTTCCTTTTATTGATTTCTAGTTTGATTCCACTGTAGTCAACAAAACACATTTTGTATGATCTCAGTCCTTAGGAATTGTTTGAGCCTTGCTCTATGGCCTAGCCGACAGTCCATTTTGATAAGTGCTCATAAGCTCTTGAAAACATGTATTGAAAACATGGCAGTTGGTAAGTGCAAAGTTCCGTATATGTCAGGCCGATTTGGTTGTTCTTGTTCAGGTTTTCTATATCCTTGCTGATTTTTTGTGTGCTTGTCCTATCTGCTATGGAAAGAGGTGCGAAAATCTCCCATGATTGTTAATTTATCCGTTTCTTCTTTTCTGTCAACTTTGCTTAGCATGTATTGAAACTATGCTACATTTTTCACCAGTTAATGATACGTTATAAATTATTAGGTGTGTGCAAATTGAGGACTCTTTTATCTTATGTGAATTGACATTTTTATCATTATGAAATGTCTCTTTTTCATCTCTAGAAATATTTCTGCCCCTGAAGTCTTTGTTGTCTGATACTAATATAGCTAAACCAGCTTTCTTTTGGTCAGTGTTGGCATGGCATATTTTTTTGTCCATTCTTTTTTCTTTAAAACTTTGTGTTTTTATATTTAAGTTGGGTCTGTAGTAAATAGCCCATTTACTTTGCTTTTTTATCCAAAAGCAATTTTGGCCTTTTAATTGGATAACCATCTATTAACATTTAATGTAATTATTGAAATGTTTATATTTACTATCTTGTTATATGTTTCTATTTCTGTTCTTTATTCCTTTATTTCTTCTTTCTTGTCTGTTTTTGGGAGAAGAATCAGGTACTTTTTTTTTTATTATTCTATTTTTTTAATCTTATTTTAGCCTACTGGTTATTAGCTTTTAGAGGCTCTGGATTATTTGTGTGTGTGTGTGTGTGTGTGTGTGTGTGTGTGTGTTTTAAAAGAAAGGCAAATGGTGCAGACAGGTCACCTTAATCCTGTCAAGGATTGGTTTTAGGCTTTGTTAGAATTGGTCCTTTGGGTTTACCTGCATTACCAAGCTATGGTCTTTCTGGGGTCTCAATCAGAGGTTTGGGTGTTGCTATTTCTCATTGGTGGGCCTTGTACTCCACCCTCAATCTCTTCAGTCTCTGCTGCTGTAAAACCTTTGCACAGAGCTTCAGCCACCCAGCTGCTGCTTTCTGTTAGCTTTCCTGTGGTTGCGGCTGCACAGGCTTAGCTTGGGAGTTAGCAAACATCTCCATGGGAGATCGCGTCTAGCCTTCAGGGTTCACTTGTCTGTAGTTCCCTCCTCTGTGAGATTTTACCACCTACATCCCAGCCACTTTGGCACCTTTGAACTCCAATCTGTCTCCTCAGCCCAATAGAATAATCAAGTTAACAGCTACTTACTCTATTCCCTGCCCTGTGAATTGGCCAGAGTGTACATGTGCTTGATGTGTTTACCTTCTCTTAGGGATCGTCTTGGTTACCCTTCAATGCCTTCAAATGCTTGTGTTACATGTTCTGTCCAGCTGTTAATAGTTGTTTTCAGAGGGATAGTTGGTTCAATATAAACTATTCTGTTATGGCTGGAATCATAAGTTTTCCTCTATTACAATTTGGGACACTCTGTATTATAAACAAAATATCTAAAACAACTCAAGAACTCTAAAATCTAAAAATTTAAAAACTCTATCACCATCCTCAAGGGTTTCCAACTCAGCATTCTGTTTAGATTGAATGGTCTTCCTTTCTCATCTTCAGTTTGGTTTTTTGACAGGAGCTTTGTACTTGGACTGAGAAAGTGAAGGTTTGGTTTCTAGACTTCTATATAAAAATTATATAATCCTGGACAAAACTCTTCCTTTTACCACCTTGGTTTTATAATTAGTCAAGGAGGATGGCCATTAATGCCTGCCTGCCTTAACTCTTTTCAGGAATAAGCAAGACAATTCTTCCCCTGTCTTCCTAACAGAGATGGTGTTCCATCAGCTTAACCATGAAAGCAAGGTTCACAAGGGTGCCATCCCCATAGAGACATGGAGGCTTTCACAATTTTCCAGCTCTTGGAGAATTTCTTCTCATGCCCTATTTTTCTTTTTCTCGCCTTAATTAGAGCTGTGAATCAGACACAGATATGATTGCTGTTTCTTCCACCATCTGGGTCAGATTGTCCTGCCTAACCCTTAGAATAAAAAAAACACAGGTGTTTGAGTGGGATGTTGGTTTGGGAGAGCTGGCTGGCCCAGTGAGCCTGACCAGAGACCATTTCCTGTAGACAGGCCATAGAGGAACCCAAACTATCAGAAAGGTTTTTGCTTGGTTTGGAAACAGAATAGAAAAAGCCATTTATGTGATTCCAAGATCAAATGGCATTAAGCTTGGACAGCCAGATGGGTATGTTGTTATGAGTGGAATTATGTTTTAGCTTTAATTTTTGGGCTTGATGGGGCAAGGCTTTAGTGGCACAACTCCACTTTGTCTCTGACTCTGCTTTTTCTAGGTTTTATCTCTGACTAATCCCCTTCTGGTTGGGAGAGCTTTGTTTAGGTATTTTATTAAAGTCAACCCAGTTGGTGTCTTGCTGTCCATTCATGTTCAACTCACATCTCTGCTCAGATGCTTTATGTGCTCAGTTTACAGATTGGCTCTTCCAGCATTGTTGCTTCCTGTTCCTAAATTTGGGGAGAGGACCTATTATAACCTCTGTGTCCAAACCTATTACATAGGTTATTTATATATTTATCTCCTTTGACCTTCACACCAGGTTCTTTATATATTTACGTCCTTTGACCTTCACCCCAGTCTGGAAGGTCATCACGTTCCTTTTACAGATTTACAAACTGAGGATCACAGAGACTAAGACATCTGCTCAAGTTCACAAAGCTTGAATGGTACAGAGAATGTTCAAACTCAGGTCTGACCTCAAACTCAGAGTTCTGCCTTCTGCTGTTGCTGCAAAGTAAGTACTACATGGGTGAATCACTCACATTCTCATGTCACCTGCAGAAGAAAAGGGACCTAAAAAATAGTGATTTAGTCAAAGAACCCTCCAATCTAGCATACCTTCATGTCTTTCTATCTTAATTCATGTGTCTCTTCCTAGAATTCTGCTCCTATTTACTGATTACTTACTATGCTGAGAACACATCGAGTATAAGTAGGGACAACCTACTCATTCTCATTTAACAGCTTGTTAAATTACGACATTTTTCATCTTCCAAATGTGCATAACTTTTGACCAGCTGTTCTACTTTAGGAATTATACACATATGCTCATAAAGCTACAGTCTAAGCATATTGATAAACATATAAAGAAATGCAAAGTCTGCAACTTCAAATTGATTTAAGTCCCTAAACAAATAAAAAACTACTATCATTCAGGTTTCTACCTGAACCAGTAGTGTGCGTGTGTATGTGTGTGTGTATTATATTGTTTTATTCATGACAGAGAGATTTATTACAAGGAGTTGGCTTATGCAATTGTGTAGCTGGCTAGGCAAGTCTGAAATCTGTAGGGCAGGTCAACAGGAAGGGGAGGCTGGAAAATTTTAGGCAGAAGCTGATGCTATAATTCCACAGGTGGATTTCTTTTCCCTCAGAGAAACTGCAGATTTGCTTTATTTTTATTTTTATTTTTTTTAACGTTTATTTTATTATTAAGAGACAGAGCGTGAATAGGGGAGGGGCAGAGAGAGAGGGAGACACAGAATCTGAAGCAGGCTCCAGGCTCTGAGCTGTCAGCACAGAGCCCAATGCAGGGCTTGAACTCATGGACCCCGAGATCATGACCTGAGCCGAAGTTGGATGCTTAACCGACTGAGCCACCCAGGTGCCCCAAAAGTAATCCCCCTTTACTTAAAGTCAATTTAAGTAAATTTTAATCCCACATACAGAGTGCCTTCACAGCAACACCTAGACTGGTGTTTGACTGAATGATGGGGTACTATAGCCTGACCACAGCATAAAACAAACTAGCACAAGAGGGTAAACTATCAGTAGAAATGGTAAATAGAGATGATCAGCAAGCTATAGTAATATGGAAAAACATTTTAAAAACAAGTTAAAATATGTTACTAAAGTATGTTGTTAAAGCATGCATTCAGTGGAAGAAACAGAGAAGCTAAATCAAAGTGTTTGAATAATAAATTTATTGGTTTACAGCACAGGAAAAACAGAAATAGGGTGGAGTGCTTTGGCTCTGGCCATCTGTATGGCCCTCTGTCCTTTGCTGGCTCCATGCTCTGTTGCTTGACAAGTGGCTGCCCCAGTTCCAGGCCTCATCTGCATGAGGAAGAGAGAGATCATATCTTCCTATTACTCTCTGAAGAGTAAGAAACTTATTAAGTGCCTCCAGCAAACCTCCTTTTAAATCCCATTGGCCTGAGTTGATCATGGGTCCATATTTGGGCTAATCTTGTGACTAGTGAATACCGTGCACTAATAGACTTAGCCTTCAGGTCCAGAGTCAGTCAGTAATGAGGGGAATGGAAGGTCATGATTGCCTTAGGCTACAGCCTCCTGATCTTTTTGACAAGTAATAGTGCCCATATGGCTGACAGACTGGAACAGCTCAAAGCAAGCACCCTGGGGCTCCAGACCTCCCAGGGTCCACCTGGCTATCTCAAGGGATAAATATCTCTACACACCAATGGGTAGCAACTTGTATGTTGCATTAGACCAATTAGGAACCACCCCCTAGGGAAAGAGTCTATCCCCAAACTATGAGACTTCTATCCAGTGGAGGAAGAGTGGACTGGTTAGTAATAACATAATGGATAATAAGGAGAGGGGAGCATACAAGAAGGGTCCAAGGATGTTTTCCAAGGTTCCAGTTTCAGTAACTGGGTAGACGCCAGTGTGTAAACTAGAGCTGGATAGTATTGTCTCATGGAGCAAACTTTTTGTGTCTTGCCCCAATTCTGTATTGAGTGATGTCTCAGAAATTGACAAATGCCACAAATCAGTGTTTTCCTCTAGAAATCAGTTTTTAAGCCTTTACCAGCACATGAAGGGAGTGTCATGTCCCAAGATAGACACACTCGTGATGTAACAGGTTTGCTTTTTATTTACCTGTTGGGAATCCTGCTCATTGTTTTTTTATTTTTTAATTATTTATTTATTTATTTATTTATTTATATTTTTTAAACGTTTATTTATTTTTGAGACAGAGAGAGACAGAGCATGAACAGGGGAGGGTCAGAGAGAGGGAGACACAGAATCGGAAACAGGCTCCAGGCTCTGAGCTGTCAGCACAGAGCCCGACGCGGGGCTCAAACTCACGGACTGCGAGATCATGACCTGAGCCGAAGTCGGCCGCTTAACCGACTGAGCCACCCAGGCGCCCCTCATTGTTTTTTTAAATTGAGGTGAAATTCACATAATGAAAAATTCACCATCTTACTCATCCTTTTTTGAAGTGTATTCAAGCTCATGGTTATTGTATCTTTATTGATTATAACATTTTATTTTTGAGAAGGTAACACATTTATGTTCAGAAGGTACAAAAGAATATCCAATAAAAAGCAGCCCTCCTGTTTCTGTTGCCCAGCCATCTAATTTCCTTCCCTAGAGAAAACCCAGGGTAATGGATCTGTAGGGATACTTTCTGAAAATTCTTAAATAAATCAATTCTTAGAATATTTTTAACCGCACACACTGCTATGGCCTTGCTTTCCTTTATCTAACAAAACATCTTGGGTGATTCCAAAACCAAACAAAGACCTCACTAAAAAGGAGAACTACAGATCTATTTCCCTGATGAACACGGATGCAAAAATCCTCAACTCTTAAGATACTAGTCAATCAGACCCAACAATACATTAAAATAATTATTCACCACAGTCAAGTGGGATTTATACCTGGGATGCAGGGCTGGTTCAATATCCACAAATCAATCAATGTGACACATTGCATTAATAAAAGAAAGGACAGGAACCACATGGCCCTCTCAATAGATGCAGAGAAAGCATTTGACAAAATACAGCATCGTTTCTTGATAAAAATCCTCAAGAAAGTAGGGATAGAAGGATTATACCTCAAGATCATAAACGCCATATATAAGAGACCCACTGCCAATATCACCCTCAATGGGGAAAAACTGAGAGCTTTCCCCCTAAGGTCAAGAACACGACAGGGATGTTTGCTTTCACCACTGTTATTCAACATAGTATTGGAAGTCTTAGCCTCAGCAATCAGACAACACAAAGAAATAAAAGGCATCCAAATCATCAAGGAGGAAGTCAAGCTTTCACTCTTCACAGACAACATGTTACTGTATGTGGAAAACTCAAAAGATTCCACCAAAAAACTGCTAGAACTGATCCATGAATTGAGCAAAGTCACAGGATATAAAATCAATGCACAGAAATCAGTTGCATTTCTATACTTTAATAATAAAGCAACAGAAAGAGAAATCAAGAAATTGATCCCATTTACAATTGCACCAAAAACCATAAAATACCTAGGAATAAACCTAACCAAAGAGGTGAAAAATGTATACACTGAAAACTACAGAAAGCTTGTGAAAGAAATTGAAGAAGACACACACCAAAAAATGGGAAAATATCCCATGCTCATGGATTGGAAGAACAAATATTGTTGATAGTACCCAAAGTAATCTACATATTTAATGCAATCCCTGTCAAAATAACACCAGCATTCTTCACGGAGTTAGAACAAACAATCCTAAATTTTGTATGGAACCTGAAAAGACTCCGAATAGCCAAAGCAATCCTGAAAAAGAAAACCAAAGCTGGAGGCATCACAATCCCAGACTTCAAGATGTATTACAAAGCTGTAATCATCAAGAAAGTGTGGCACTGGCACCATAACAGACACTCAGATCAATGGAACATAATAGAGAACCCAGAAATGGACCCACAACTATATGGTCAAATAATCTTCAACAAAGCAGGAAAGAATATCCAGTGGAATAAAAACAGTCTCTTCAGAAAATGGTGTTGGGAAAACTGGAGAGCAACATGCAGAAAAATGAACCTGGGCCACTTTCTTACACCATACACAAAAATAAACTCAAAATGGATGAAAGACCTAAATGTAAGACAGGAAGCCATCAAAACCCTAGAGGAGAAAGCAGGCAAAAACCTCTTTGACCTCATCTTCAGCAGCTTCTTACTCAACACGTCTCTTGAGGCAAGGGAAACAAAAGCAAAAATGAACTATTGGGACCTCAACAAGATAAAAAGCTTCTGCACAGTGAAGGAAACAATCAGCAAAACTAAAAGGCAACCCACAGAATGGGAGAAGATATTTGCAAATGACATATCCGATAAAGGGTTAGTATCCAAAATCTATAAAGAACTTCTCAAACTCAACACCTGAAAAACAAATAATCCAGTGAAGAAATGGGCAAAAGACATGAATAGACAATTTTCCAAAGAAGACATCCAGATGGCTAACAGACACATGAAAAAATGTTCAACATGGCTCATTATCAGGGAAATGAAAATCAAACTTCAATGAAATACTACCTCACACCAGTCAGAATGGCTAACATTAACAACTCAGGCAACAACAGATGTTGGCGAGGATGCAGAGAAAGAGGATCTCTTTTGTACTGCTGGTGGGAATGCAAGCTGGTGCAGCCACTCTGGAAAACAGTATGGCGGTTCCTCCAAAAATTGAAAATAGAACCACCCTATGACCCAGCAATTGCACTAGTAGGTATTTATCTAAGGGATACAAGTGTGCTGTTTCAAAGGGACACATGCACCCCAATGTTTATATAGCAGCGCTATCAACAATAGCCAAAGTATGGAAGGAGCCCAAATGTCTGTGGACAAATGAATGGATAAAGAAGATGTGGTATAAATATGCAATGGAGTTTTACCTGGCCATCAAAAAGAATGAAATCTTGCCATTTGCAACAATGTGGATGGAACTAGAGGGTATTAGGCCAAGAGAAATTAGTCAGAGAAAGACAAATATCACATGACTTTACTCATATGAGAACTTTAAGATACAAAACAGATGAACATAGGGAAAGGGAAGCAAAAAATATAAAAACAGGGAGGAGGACAAACCATAACAGATTCTTAAATATAGAGAACAAACCGAAGGTTGCTGGAGGGTTTGTGGGTAGGGGGGTGGCTAAATGGGCAAGGAGCATTAAGGAAGACACTTGTTGGAATGAGCACTGGGTGTTATATATAGGGGATGAATTACTGGATTCTACTTCTGAAATCATTATTGCACTATATGCTATGGATATAAATTAAAAAATAAAAATAAATTAAAAAAAAATCTTGAGGATGGTTCCATACCAGTACCTACAGAACCTCCTTTTTTTTTTTTTTTTTAAACAGCTACAATGTAATCCATTCACATACAGTTACTATGAATGACTTTAAACATCCTTCTTTTTGCATCTATGTGGATATATCTTTTGGACCCATTCCTACAAGCAGAATTACTGGTCAAAGATTATGTATATTTGGAAGTTGAAAGATGTTGTTAAATTGCCTTCTGCCGATACTGCACTGGTTTGCATTTTCATTACAATTTGCCTGTTTCCTCACAGCTTTGCCCACAAAGTAGGTCTTCAAATTTCTTATTCTTTGTCAATCTGATAGGAAAAAAAATGGTATATCAGTGTAATATAAATTTCCTTTCCTTTTATTATATGTAAGGTTGTGCATCTTTTTATATGTTCATGGGCCATTTCTGTATCTTTTTTTTTTGGTAAACTATCTGCTTGTATCCTTTCCCATTTACTCTATTGGGTTTTGGTACTTTGAAAATTAAATATTAGAAGTTCTTTTTATCTGAAGGAAATTATACTCAAACACTTTTTTCCTTTGTGTCATTCATCTTTTGGCTTTGTTTCTGGTGGTTTTCCCATGCAGGTCTTTTTTTGTTTTTAAAATTTTTTATGTAGTTGAATCTACCACTTTCACATAGTAGAATCTTTGATAGCTTCCTGGTTTTTTTTTTTTATTTTTTTAACATTTATTTATTATTGAGAGACAGAGAGACACAGAGCGTGAGCAGGGGAGGGGCAGAGAGAGGTGGAGACACAGAATCTGAAGTAGGATCCAGGTTCCGAGCTGTCAGGACAGAACCCGACACGGGGCTCAAACTCACAAATTGCAAGATCATGACCTGAGCTGAAGTTGGTCGCTTAACCAACTGAGCCACCAGGCAACCCTATAGCTTCTTGGTTTTATGTAATACTTCTTCACTCCAGAAATTATTAAAAATGTAACACAGTTTTTTCTAGTCCTTTTATGTTTTCATTTTTACATTTAAATCTCTGCTTCATT